TTTGTTGTCAACAAAAAACTGTTAACAAACGATGATACAGCTTAGTTTTTTCTATCGATTACATTAATGATGCGATGATAATTCATCGATTCATTTTTTGAAACACAAACGAGTCCACGTAATAAGTGAAAAATAAGTATTTTGATGGTGGCACGTGTGCAATTTCATATTACCATCGGCAGTGTGTGATAGATGATGCTTTAACTTAAAAATGTACACACAGTGAGATCATTCCTGTGGGAACCCCATTTCGCATTTAAACATTGTCGACAAATGTTATTTATTTTATTTTTCACTGGAAATCGATAAAAATGTTGATTTTGAAATAAACTCGTTGAACGGGTCAACATTTTCCGATATTTTCGATGCAACAATGAATGTTGTCGAAGTTGTCTTTTCCATTCACCTACATTTAACTTTGACATATTCTTTCAGCTGTTTTTCGACGTTTTTTATTGAAAAATGTCTATTGAACGCAAAGAAAAAAATAGTTTGAGAATTGCATTTTTGAGAACATCGTTGAAAAAACGTCATTTTTGTTATTTTTTTTATTTAAATGTGGTTTTGCTGTATTCAATTGAATGTTGCTCATATAAAAACAAATGACGGTGTACACGTCCATTTAACGTTAAAGAAAAGCGTCACGTTATTTTTTGTTAAAAAATTGTTGTCAAATAAAAAAAACACGTTGTAAATAATATTTTAAGAGCGTGACGGCTTAAAAATTATTTTAGAACAAAAATCAGTTGATTTGAGTGCTGTTGCATTGACATGTAGTCTATAGCGCTTGCTCCTTTCTGGTTTAACCAAAAGAGTGGAAGAATGACAAGGACAGCGTATGACGTTGAACGACGCTCACTGCGTTAGAAAAGAGCAAGCGCTATAGACTATATGTCAATGCAACAGCACTCAAATCAACTGATTTTTGTTCGAACAGAATTTTTAAACCGCCACGCTCCTAAAATATTATTTACATCGTGTGTTTTTTATTCGACAACAATTTTTTAACAAAAAATAACGTGACGCTTATCTTTAACGTTAAATGGACGTGTACACCGACATTTGTTTTTATATGAGTTGATGTTGATCATTGAGATGGGATGAGATGCATCACATGACAGCTCACAACTTTCTTTCATTTGGGAATACCTACTGAAGCACAGATTAATCCATCGTCCAGGTGATAAGGCTGAAATCCAAATGAGTTTTGAAAACTGACGGTCATTTCATCTGATGAGAAATAGATGAAAAAGGCGTTAAAATTTTTGCAAAATTCCAATATGTGAAGTTACTTTGTCAATAATTCTCATGCCTGTTGTTATAATTTTGGTTCCATTGGTCCAATGGCAATTAAAATCCAAATATATACGAAAACTGTCGTTTGCCCTTCAATTCGTGTATATCGTGGTGTCTTATTTACATATAATTTGATTGAATTTCGTGTTGTTTTCTTATCTCTGTTGTCTTAGTCGTCGATGTTGTTGTCGAATGAACTCCGTGTTCGTCTTTTTCCTCTCTCGTTTCGTTGCGTTTTATAATTTTTTTACTGTGTTTTTGTTTGGCTTCAGCTTTTATTTTCGTCAATATTGACGACGTTGAACTGCTCTTTTATATGGTTAAATTTTTGCAAGGCATGGATAAACGTCATCTGTTTTGGTTTGGATGTCGCCATTTATACATTTATTTTATGGTTGATGCTGTTCTGTATCAGTATTTTGTTCTAAAAATAGCCCCGACTCAATATCCAATCTAATTAACGACTAGAAAAAAAGGAAATGCCAGAACAACAAATAAAATTCCTTGAAATGTTGTTTTTTTTTTCTCGGACGTATCTCTTGATTTTGTGGAATTTTTGATTAAAATGTTAAAAACTCGTGCAGAGTTGCTATGAGTTCATTTTCACAACCAAGTAATTAGTTCAAATAAATGAGGAGCCTGTGCTTATCGCAACATGTAAACATCGTCTAGTACGAAACAGGTGCTATTAAATTTTAGAACCTTTGAACCTACACATATATATTTTTTTCTGTCTAAGATTCCAGTTTGTTGTTCAGAATTGTAGTCTTTTTGATGAAAAGCGATAGACACATTCATTGTCTATTCAAATACCAATTCTATGAAATGAGACCAATTATTATTTAATTAATTATCTCATTTCAATATGGCATGCGTTTCGCAAAGTGACTTGTAAATTGATTTTATTTTCATCCCGAATTCGTTAATAATTGGAGTTAATTGCCAACACCATTACCGCTAAAAAGCATCTTAGTTGGATAATTTATTTTATCTGATTTACCGGTCTTTGCTAATTACAGTAAAAAAGAAATGCCACTGTTGTTGATTAACATCAACAATGGAGAAGAAATATCGACATAGAATCAGTGCCTAAATGAATAAACACGCCATCATAATCACATTTAATCAACATTTGGTTGTTTTTTTGTTCCTTTCTTCTAAATATCTCAAGCACGACTTTATCGTAAAACTTTCAATGAATCAGTTCAATTTATGACGTGTTTTAAAGCGAGCAACAAGTATTATAGCTAGGTTTGATCACACATTTTAATTCGAATCGATTAAGTCATAATCACGCATTATATGTATATTTAAACAACATTTTGATTATTATTTGCATTTAATCAGCTGAAAAAAAAACCATTAACTTATTTGTGTAAAATTGAAATGATTTGACATAATATTTAAGGACGCAATTTTGAAAATGATACCAGTAATTAAAATCGAATTGAATGAATTTACTATTATCAAAATTGCATATTGCAAACGCACAAGTTTCGTGACATTTGATTTGAGTAAACGTCATTGACAACGTCACATCAAATCGAAAATGCACAACAAACTGATTTATTTCAATCCCTTGTGAAAAGAATGACTGACTGACTAAGTCAATTTTAATCACTTTTATTCGGTTAAAATTACCAATAGATGATTGAAATCGAATATACACCTAGTCGGTTGTGTTTCAGAGTTAACTAAAAGTGATTATAGTCAACATAGTTGACAAAAGTCAATTTCATATACTTATAGTTAACCGTATTTAACTATCATCACAATCGACATTTCTCAACTCAAGTTACATGAAGATGCATATAGTCACTTGTAGTTAACTTTAGCTGGCTGAAATATCAGCCATTTTTGTCCCAAATTAGTCAATTTATAGTCGTCTATGAAGTCGAAATATTTCCACAAGGGATTGAATTAATTATGAGCATCAACACATTTTTCTTCTTCCGTTTCTTTCTCGATCTTTCTACTTCTTTTCTTCATCTCTTCCTCTCTATTTTTTTCTCCCTCGGTATTTCTCTAACGCATTTTAGTCTATCCAAAAATTATCGTTAGTTTTAAATTAACGTAATTAATGAAATTCGAACTCTTGATCTATGCAAAAAAAAATCAATTTAAATTCACGATCAATTGAAGCAAGAGTCGATTGTTTCATTCAAGATTTATTTAATAAACTACTTGAGTCTTGATTTGATAAATTGTACTGTTTTGCTTACGTTTGTACATTCAATTTATAGCTGAGGTCGTCACCAATCAATATTCCCGTGGCATATGCATTATGAATGCCTTATCTGATTGTTTCCTTTCCAGTTTGCACAAAAATAGAAACGGCATGCATTTCGCTTTCTTATCAGCCAATAATCAGATTGTTAGTAAGCGATTTAATGAAAAGTTTCTCACTTGTGTAAATATTATGTATAATAATACCCAAGTATTTCCATGTGATTAGACAAAGTTCCGTTTCATTATTTCATTCATACGCGTGTGTGAACGAAACGAGACCAAAAAGCTGCAATTCAATTTAATTTTAAAATATACGTAAATCCATAATTGAAATAATGTTTTTCATCACAAGAATTCAAAATATGTGTTTGAAAATGAACAATAATGATGATGTGTACCCTAGTGTAACTTTATATAGGAAAAAAATGATGTGTACGTAAACCAATGGTTATTATTGTTAATTAATCCAATTATCCAACGTTTTTTATTTCATTGAATGTGGTCGCTTTTATTTAAAAAAAAACAATTCCGTCTAATATCAATTGAACTCAATTAATATGTAATATTGCCATTTGTCTAAATATAAACGAGCTGAAACAAACCGACTGGCTCGACGTGTGTCGAAGTCGAGATAAGCGTACCGGAATCGATTTTTAATGGAATACCATTATCCAAAGCACTCACGCTTTTTTTTTTCATCAATTTCAATGACAACGGAAGATATTTAAAATTATAATCGGTATTAAATTGATTACCATACTTCCAATAAAATGAAACTGTATGTCACCCGAGAAGAGAGTTATTCGATTTCAAGTGATGTGGGTGAGACAAAAACTGTAGAGCGAAAAAAAACGACTCTCAGAATTCATGATATGCATGTATTTTATCCACGTTTTCAATTTGATGTATTTGCAATAAAATGCAAAATAAAACACACATACATTCCGAATGTGGGTGCACAGTCTGTACCATGTACCATTTTGAAAATCAAATTATAGTATAATGAATGTGTTGAGATCGTGTGCGGTTTTTACATCACAAAAAAAAGCAATGACAAAACCGATGCATTAACCTTTCGATATTATCAAATTGTTAATTAAATTAAAATTCCCTAATCGTACACATGCACAAATTTGAACATTAGCAGACACCAAACGGGAATGTTTTCAGCTAAATGAATTTTAACGATAATTTAAGAGCTTTTACGCTGAAATAAAATACCAAAAAAAGAGAAACCATATCGTGCAATAATCTTGCCGTCGCAAGCGTCACCATCTTCATAAAACAAAAGTTCTTGGGGCAATGTGCTTTTAGCTTAATTAATGAAAATATTGCGTTTTAAACACGGGTGAATATAATTTGATTAAACCCCCTTTTTTGCAATGTCTTGAAAGCAAATGTGATACGGCGTCCATAAAAATGTCTATTTACGTTTATTTGGAAATTTAACAAAAGTTAAACATTTAATCCAACAGGCTGAACAAAATGTCGATAATTTCAATGAGTGAATCTTTGAACCGAAGCTAAAAAATAAATCTAAATCATTCCAAAATGATTGTGACATAGTTGCAGTTTTTGAAACGAGAGTCAATGACAATCAGTGAACATTTAAATTACCTAACCGAAAGGAGGATAATATCACGATAAAAAACACACACACACACGCACAAACGACAATACAAATATGAATCATAATAAGCTCATCGTGATAATTTTATACGTGATTAGTATATGTGACATACAAATTATAAATGGCCAAACAAATAATTCGACAGTGCAGGTGAAGCATTTGCAGCTGAAGCGTGGAATGCCCATAATAAAAAGTGGAAAACGTCGATTTCCAGCTCCGAGACAAGATGACGTTGTGTTTGAGTTATTTTTCGGCGTGTTTCTGCCCGAAGAGCCAATTGTAATTGGTTGTACGTACAAAGAGGCGATGCCAGCCATTGAATTGGCCATACAAAAACTACAACAGCCCGGTGGTTTATTCGAAAGATATTCAATTTGTGTTGAATATCGTGACACAAAACCATCATCACATCATGCCACTATTTCTGCTTTCGATCTATTCTCAAAGCAATCTCAAGGTTAATTTATTTTTTTGGGGATTTTTACTCGCCCACTTTCATTTCGTTGAAACACGTTTTCAATTCTACGAATTTGAATTACAGATGTCATTTTTGGACCGATGGAATCTTATTCTCTGGCTACAATTATTCGGTTTGCTGGATTTTTTGAAACTCCGGTTATTTCACCGGGCGGTTTTGCACAGGCTTTTACTTTAAAAGACACTTCGGTAATGAGATCAACACCATTTATTTGTTGCTATACACCTTTTTTGTGGCATGTTTGTTATTTATACATTTATTTCGTAATAAAATAGGGATTTCAAACATTAACCCGTTTGATCGGCAGTCCAGAGCATGCGGGTAGCGCGTTGAATGGCTTATTTCATCAATTTAATTGGCATCATATCTCGTGGATGTATCACAATCATGGCGAAACTACCGGACGCGGTAATTCAGATTGTTCGTTTATTTTGGGCGCCATTCAGAATAACTTTCCAAATACTGTCAGCGGACAAGTACAATTCGACGAGCTAAAAATGACGAGAGAACATTTTCGAGAGATGTTATCCGATTTTAAAACAAAATCAAGAAGTGAGTCCAGAATTAACGCGTTTGATATACAAAAAAATATTTTTTGGATATTATTGGGGATAAAACACTTTTTTATCAGATTAAAGCTAGATAAATTCACTAAAATACAGATAATAGACATTTGGTGTTAACTCCATTTAATTATACGTAATAAGAATGTGAATTTGAAATAAAATTGTAGCGCTTAAAAATTCATGATCACGACAGTTCTAGAGCTCAATCAATGGATCAATGCAATTTTTCATTTGTTTAATACATTTTTTTCTTATATTTCATCCATGTCCATTTTAGTTGTTATGATGTGTGCAAGCCCTGGTACGATTCGCGAAATTATGTTGGCTGCTGATGACTTGAATATGATTGACAGTGGAGAATATGTATTCTTTAACATTGAATTGTACAGCGGGTAAGAACTTTTCCATTCTCTTCAAAGTTATGTGAACATTCCAACTTATTCGAAAGTTTCGAATCAAAAGAAAGTGCTTTTTATTAAAAGTGGTGCTAAATTGAATTTATAAACACCTAAACAGTAAACCGGTAACAAATACGCAGCCATGGTATAATGCATCCGATACCGACGAGAATAATTTACGCGCAAAGAAAGCGTACACAGCTCTATTGACTGTGGTTGGAAAACAGACATTTGACGATGAATACATGCAATTTTCGCAACAATTAAAAGAATTGGCAGCATCAAATTATAATTTTACATTTCCGGAAAATCAAACGGTCTCAACATTTGTGACAGCTTTTTACGATGCAGTATTTTTGTATGCATATGCATTAAACGACAGTATTAAAATGGATCCACAGGCTCTTTATAAACCTATAAATGGTACTCATCTGGCGCATTTGATGTGGAATCGAAGTTTCAATGGCATCACTGGCAAAGTACGTAATTACACTAAAAATGAAGTCAAACCATCGTCCATCGAATTAGAGTGCTAATATTATCTCCAATTTTAGGTTATTATTGATAAAAACGGCGATCGGATCTCAGATTATTCTTTGCTTGATATGGATCCTGAAACGGGCTATTTTCACGTTGTTGCCAACTACTTCAATCACAGCGGTTTAGAGTATGTGGAAGGCAGGAAAATTCATTGGGCTGGAGGACGCACCGACCCTCCGCCCGATAAGCCCAAATGCGGTTTTGACAACTCATTGTGTCCCGGTATGTTTTCAAAGAAACATTTTAGCTTTTGTGTTTTTAAGACTCACGAGCCATTTTTTTGAAATAGCTTTACCCGGTTACGCTATTCTCTCATTTGTTTTGGGCATGGCAATGGCTGTCATGGCAATTATTTCCTTTTTTGGATATCGCCACTACAAATTGGAGGCCGAAATCTATTCTATGGCTTGGAAAGTTTCGTGGAATGATGTGCTTCCGTGTAATCAACTCAATAGACAGCGAGGCAGTGTCTATTCATTAGCCAAACGAGGAAGTCAACTTGTAAGCATTGCGTAAACATTTGATTATTTCAATCGTTTTTTAATGAAAATTCCTGTGTTTGTTTCACTCAGACTGTTTACTCAGAAGAATTGGGTTCACTTGCCGGTGATAAACAACTATTCATCCCATCTGGCTTCTACAAGGGCTGCAAAGTGGCTATCAAACGGATCAACGAAAAAAATATTCATTTAAATCGAGCACAAATGCTTGAACTCAAGAAGGTCAGTCTGCATTGCTTAATGAACGTATGTGATTTTTGATGAGGACTTTTTTGTTTTTCTTGATTTTGTTTATTCATTTTTATTCAATGTCACACATTTATTTGCCTTTGCGTCATTAACATTTTCATTTCGTAAATACAGATGAAAGATATTCATCATGAGCATTTGGTGAAATTTTATGGTGCTTGCGTTGACCCACCGAATTGTTGCATTTTAACCGAATACTGTCCAAAAGGATCTCTACAGGACATTTTGGAAAATGATCAAATCAAATTGGATTGGATGTTCAAAATATCACTTATGCATGACATCGTACGAGTGAGTAAAAACAAAACAATTCTTCCATACGATTGGACATATCATATAAAATTGTATTCCTCTTGCTTGATAATAGGGAATGCACTATTTGCATTCAACCGACATTCGTTCACACGGCAATTTAAAGTCCTCTAACTGTGTAGTTGATTCTCGGTTTGTGTTAAAAATTGCCGATTTTGGATTGCATAGCTTACGAAAATCAAATAACGACGAAGACTCGGAGTATTCAGACAGTTATGCACACTGGAGATCGCTATTGTGGACGGCTCCAGAGCTACTTCGAATGAAAGATCCGCCGGTTGAGGGCACACAAAAAGCCGATGTTTACTCGTTTGGTATCATTGTAAATGAGATTGCCACACGCCAGGGACCTTTTTACACAGGCAATAGCTACATCACACCGAAAGGTCAGTACAAACCCCCTTGACTCAAACGAATTCAATTAAAAGTACATATATATTTCTTACAGAAATAATTGAACGTGTAAAACGAACGGCACACGGTGCACCATTTCGGCCGACAATAAACGATCAAACATTCGATGACTTAAATAATATCATGACAAAATGCTGGAAAGAGGACCCAACTGAACGACCCGATTTTAGTATTTTAAAGACAACCATACGCAAAGTCAATAAGTAAGTGATGTGAATTTTTCTAACTAACCACATCCAATAACATCTAATTTTAAGATTTTAATTTTTGTTTTTTTATGATTTTCTTTATGTTTGTTTGTTTCTTTGTTGTTGCCATCACCATTTTTTAGAGAAAACGAAACGGGAAATATAGTGGATAATTTATTAAAACGTATGGAACAATATGCAAATAATTTAGAAGGTTTAGTGGAAGAGAGGACGCAAGACTATTTAGAAGAGAAGCGAAAATGTGAAGAATTATTGTATCAATTGTTGCCAAAATCGGTGGCAGCCCAACTCATTTTGGGAAAACCGGTCATTGCTGAAGTGTTTGAACAAGTTACAATTTATTTTAGCGATGTTGTCGGTTTCACACAACTTTCAGCGGCCAGCACTCCGATGCAAGTCGTTGATTTACTTAATGATCTGTATACGTGTTTCGATTCAATCATCGAAAATTTTGATGTTTACAAAGTAAGTGCACGAAAATATCATCAAAACAAGCGAAATGTTTCATTTAATTTTCGAAAAATAATGAAATCCAAATTGGTTTCTATTTATAGGTCGAAACAATTGGTGATGCATATATGATGGTAAGTAAAAATTATCTAAATGAACCATAAAATGCATTTGCAATGTATAAATTTGCAATTTCTTTTCGTCTGTATGTAGGTATCTGGTTTACCACAACGAAATGGTGATAAGCATGCACGAGAAATTGCTCGAACTGCGATTGCTCTACTTAATAATGTATATAAATTCAAAATTCGACATCGCTCGAACGAACAACTAAAGTTACGAATTGGAATTCACTCGGGTGAGTCACAATCTTAATTTAATGCATAAAATCATCGAAAAAAAAACTAAAATTAAATATTCACATCACTCAGTTATAACTGGTAAGACAAAGTGACACATTTGCTTTGTTTTAATGTGGGGCGCATACTTTGCACAGTTGAATGTTACTTAATATTGAAATAGATCAAAATAAATTCCAATACAATATAATTATTCTCATTTTCGTCGAATAGGTCCATGTGTGGCAGGTGTTGTAGGTTTAAAAATGCCACGATACTGTTTGTTTGGTGATACGGTGAATACGGCAAGCCGAATGGAATCGAATGGTGAACCGTTAAAGATTCACATAAGTCAAAGTACAAAAACAATTTTGGATAAATTTGGAACATTTGACATTGCCGAACGTGGTTTGGTCGAGATGAAAGGAAAGGGTAAATTGCGCACCTATTGGCTACAGGGTGAACAACATTCTGAACTATACACAAGCACATTGAACAATGCGATAGCTCCGGCCGTCACACCAAATTATGACAAAACCAAGGACAAAGATCCATTGACAATGCTACGCACCGGCATTATGCGAAGTCGATCGAATTCATTGATTCCACCAAATGATCTTAAAAGTCGTTCAAATTCTTTAGTTTTATTAACACCATCATCACCATCAAATACGGACAAAACAAATCAAAATGCATCGATCGCAAATGCCACCAACTGCGGCTCAGTCGGCAACACCGTTGCATTTGTCAACGCATTAACCAATAACAATCAATCAATTTTGAATAATTTAGTAAAAACAAATAATTTGAAGAATTGTAATCTATCAAATAGTAGCAATAAGCTGAAAATTAACAATAATGTTTGTGTAGAAGACAACGGACGAAGTGTGACAATACCATTGTTGGCAAGCAGTAAATCATAGCAAGAGGACAGTGGTCGTCAACAGGAGCATAAAATGTAGGTGAATCGAACATGAAAATACTTTCGTTCGATTACAAATTCCACCTAATCTCAAGTGACAGACGACCAATTAGAAATATATTTATACGCAGCAACAGCACTCTTCCGCTTCTAACACACACATACATGAACACAAACTTGATGAACTGTGAAACATTTCTGGCATAGTATTATTAAAAACAACAACAATTCAAATATATATATCCACACACTTAATCCAAATTCGAGAGACTGTATTCAACGATATATAGAATTATAGATGTGTCCAATACATCAATATATAAATATATATAGGTCTCAACCTACAAGACTCTCCCCTACATATATATTGATGTTAGACGTTATGATAAAATAAAACATATAAAAGTAAGTATGTTGAATGGAAAAGTATGAAGATGATGTTATAGACTTAGAAGATCAAACTCATGGTTATTGTTATTCTGATATGGCCTAGGCAATTAACTTATATACCCACAAAAAATATGCTATATTTTCTCATTTTTGACGTAGAAAAAAAAGTTAAACATTTGCTTCGTAGATTCTTTACCTTTTTTTATTTATGACAACAACATACGTAGTCAAATTTAAGGAATTTCACTGAACTGTACATATTTTGAATGTTAAATCTAGCTTATACTGAATAAAGAAGAAGAAATATATTTGAAATTCTCAAAACATGAAGTTTGCACTATTTTTTTCTCAGAACGTCAGCCAATTCCATTAGAAATGACGTACGATGAATAAAAGAAGCAGTAAAAATGAAGCACATTTCAAAGTTAGATTTGACGGTTTGTATTATGTCCAATCAAGATGCAAATTTTTTATTCACGTCATCAATAATAGTTTGATTCTGATTGTGATTCTCTTTTGCTTATACAAATATATATCCTTGATTTATGTATATGGCATGTCGGCTGCACAAAAGCGCACACTAATAACAACGCAACAACGTAGAGCCATTGATGAACATAGAGTGAAAAAAGGTCAAAAAGTCGAACGGCATAGTCTGCCTTTTAAGATATTTTTGATGAATTTTTTATTAAAAATAATAAAGGTGACTGCGAATAAAACTGGGAATCGTGAAAACGCTACATAGATTGTAATTAAGTTTTTCGGACCTCTTTGATGCTCACTTATGTTGAAAGTTCACTTGCAAATTTCCAGCCTAATTTTCACCGACTCAATTCTACTATATTCGATAGGAACCTTCTCATATTCTACATGCAACGTTCGTCTGCTACATTTTATTTCGGATTCAAAAACTATTTTCGTCAAAATCAAGAAGATGGCGCCATTCCAGTTTGACATTTGCAAAGGTTTGCTTTTAAAGTGTTTTATTTTGATACTGAGTAAAGATTCATTATTCCATTTTTTAATAAATCAAAACATTGAAAAATCAAAAAAATTGTGTTTTTTATTTATAAAATTCTCAAAAATTATTTTGATTATGCTTTAAAACATACTGTTTTTTTATCTTAAATAATTTACACACCTTTCCTTATACGAATAAAACTACTGAATCTCTTCAAAATTTCAGTCTTTGATTGAACTTAAGCAATCGATCACCTTTAATCATTTACAAATCCTAAATTTACGATGATACCTGAATGTGTGGTTTTTTTGTTTTTTTATACGCGACAATTGGTCGCTTAAAACCATCTGCGGAATGTTCTTTTGGTAACTTGATCGAGTAACTGCTGTCGAAACCGATTTCATTGCTTAATAAATAATCGTGGAAATGCTTTGGAGGGAGTTGAATACTTTTGTAATGTGCATTGATTTCAGGTGTGAGATTCTTTCGTCTTTTGTAACTCTTCCAGTCTTGAGCTTCCAAAATCAATGTTCCATCTTCCTTCAATTGGCGATACATTCGTTTGAAAGCTCGCTTCAACCCATCGTCGCCAAAATTCAAATGAATCCATTTGGTAACCGATAAACACATGATGACATCATAACGCGGTTCCTCCAATTCCAATAGACCATCATCCTGTAGTACATAGTTACATTGCTTGAATGCAATATTATTTGGAAAGTTCACTTGTTTGATGACATTCTTGTCGTTGTTGTTAACAATCGCCTGAGTTTCATACAGCACACTTCGTCGCGCTTTTGCAATTAAATTTGCGTCAATGTCCATGCCAGTGATGAAATTGATGGAAAAACGTTTGGCCAGAGCGATAGTCAGCGAACCGTCATTGCAGCCGATGTCCAAAACATCTTTGCCATTGAATATCTCATCGTATTGGCTAAGAGCAATTAAACGCACATCTTCGACATTTTTCTCGCATCGATATCCATAATATCGATTATAATTGCCGTAAATAAATTTATTTTTGGTTTTTACTGCAGTACCTTGATTATGACCATTTGACAAAATTTTTGGCACTTCCAGTCGTAACTTTTTCGATGGACTATTGTTTGGCTGAACATTTGAAGCACGTTTTTTCGGTGATTGTTTTGGATTTGTGTTTTTAATATTGGCATCTTCTTGTGTTGAAGGCTTGGTGCTTGTATTATTTTCGGCCATTTTTGGTTCTAATGATGAATGAAAAAAAAAAAATAAAAAAAACAGATGATGAGAATATGTTAAATTGAAAAAGTTTATATGAAAACGTTTAACCCGGTAGAAACTAACCTAAAACGGCGGGAAATCGAAGTCACCCAAAATATATCCAATGAATTTCAATGTTGCAGCTGATAAAAATGTAATCGGAAAATACACGAACTCGCAGTTTACTTTTAATATTTGCAAAAATCAACGTAATTATTTTTTAATACTGCATACGATTTTAATCGATGCAAAGCAACAATTCCAATAACAAATGTTTTGATGTTGTCGATGTTGACATTTGTGGTTTTGTGTGTGACAGCACGAGCACATTGACACATCATGCATTGATTGCATTAATTTTCGTTAGATGGCCCTCGCAATGCCCGTAGAATGTTTCATCTGTACACATTTGTGCATTCAGTCTGCATTGAGAAGAATGCGCGCCATTTTGTTTTTCCAAATACATAGAAAAATTGATTTGGTTCTTTCGGTGACCCAGTGGTGTGATTGTATTGTATGAATGAACTCGATTTGATAGTATTGTGTACAATAGCTCACACGCACACAAATGTGCCGAATAAAAACAAAACGAACACAAAACTGACTTTATCAAACTAAGCAGCACCATACATACATCGTGTACACTTAGAATGTTTCGAATTTCTATTGCAATACGAATGAAAATGCATTTGTATGGGTGAATTCATCTATTCTTTGCTTGTTCATCGAAAATATATGTGTATATTTTGTGGTCGTCGCTACGTTCGTGGCCATGTTTGTGTGTTGTGCGTTTTCAAATCGAGTTGGATTGTGATTCTTGTCGGGCGGTCAGGCTACCATATCATCTATTCGCTTTAGTTTTCAATTTAATTTGTTTCCACTTTAATTTCTTTGTGTCAATTTCCCGATTAGTTGATGTTTTCTATCTAGAAAATGACAATGAAATTGATGAAAATTTAAAGCATACGCAAAAAAAGTGAAAATAAAAGAAATAAACCAGGTAAAGAAAGAAAGATAGATAGAAAGAAAAAGAGTCGAATTTTAGTGTGTGAGAGTGTGCAACACATTTTGCATTTGATTTCTTCGGATTCGAGCATTAGTTCGTACGATACAACATCTATATATATATGTACATATATGTATTTATATTGTACATATGAAATTTTCTTTTTTTTTTGTTAAGTGTGTTATCAAAATCGGAATCATCGTTCAGTTTAAAATACGAGTATTTTCTTTGAAATGGTTTTTTTTTCGTTTCTCTCTGTGTGTATGCATGTTATTCTCTATCGGTAATTCAGTAAGCGAAATGATGAAAATTGAATGTCTATAAACGACACTGAAGATACTAGATTTTCATTTATACACATATATTTATAAAAAAAATTACTGTTCATTGTTAAGTTCGTCTTGTTCGTTGCCGTAATTTAAAGTGTGTGCATTTTTATTTGTTCATGGCTTTGGCTCTCCATTGAAATGAATTGAGACGTCGACAACTACGACGGCTATTACTTCGATTACAACGTGAAATATTTTAGTTTTTCTTTTCATTCATTGCTCGCTCACGCTGCTTGTGTGCTTCAAATACTTCATTTTTGTTTCGTACGTTGTGTGCAAAGCATTTTTGACGCTATTTACACCGAGATAGGAAGAGGGAGAGAGACAACGAATAATGAGAACCGATTGAATATCGCTGATTTGAAGCATATTATTTTACGAGTGCTAACATAACTGTAACTTGTAAATGAAATAAAAAAAAGTTTATTCAATGTGTAATTGTGTGCGCTGCAGTTATTTTAACTTGTGTTCACGGGTCAAGTGGATTTCAGTAATTTGTGTTCGCGCCGCATTTGAACGAGTATACGAAGAAGAATAGAAGAAAAAAAAAATGAAAGAATAAAAGTAAATACAAAGTGAAACTATAAAATGAAATGAGAGGTAAATAAGAGAAGAAGCAGAAAAAAGTATCAAACGTGAGCGGGAAACCAGAGTTGAAATATTCGAACGAAAAATATTTGTAGTAATAATTAAGAAGAAGAAGAAGAGATTAAGACGGAGGGAAAGACAATGTTTCGTGTCTTTACGGCAGAGCCATGTGTTTGTAGTAGCTGTTGGTGATAGCAATGTGGTCAATGTATGTAGTGACATCGATTTTGTTAATAATATTTTTTTTGGCAGTAGATATTGTTATTTTTTTTTTTTTCAAACCACATGAAATTTGTCAACGTTACATATTTCATTGGGTTTGCATTCAACTGAAATGGCACGTAATATGTAAAGAGAGCGCATCGCGAAACTAATCATCATTGTAAATCGTCTGTGGTGCATAATATATATTTCTTTTATCGATTTAAGAAAGTTACTGAACACATGTATGTGCCAAAGAGAAAATAAACGATCAAATAAAATCGAAAACATTGTGAAATATAAATGAAACAAAAAAAACTTCAAACAAACTTCGATTTAACAAATTTTACGAAAAAAAAAATGAATGAAAGTTACAATTGTGCAGTTTGTTGTGATGAAAATAAAAACCATAGTTGAATGGCAACCATCATAAAAGTGACAAGAAATTATCGATTGAATATGACCAAGAGAAGAGACACCATGCGGTTGAAGTTTACACCGAATAACTGCATCAATGGAATTGATTGCATTGTTTTAGACAAATTGATGAAGTGAAGCAGAGAAGAGACGAAACAAACATTCCAAGAATAATGTGAACGATGACGAAAAGAGAGCAATATTTTGTGTGTAAAAATAGGAATTGTGCTGATGCTATCATTGTTATTTGCAGCACGACATTTTTGAGTGCGTTTAAACCAACATGTTGAAGCTATTTTCAGTGTTGCAGTGTGTGTATGTGCATGTTGTTTTGTGTGTGTATTATTTTTTTTACACTCCGATAGGCTGTATTCGCTCCATGCTGTGTAAAGGGTTTTTGTTGTGCAACCTATTCGAGCGATGTGATTGAACTGTCGATGCGTTGCTCTCAATTGACTCTCGATTTGGTCGATAACGTGAACTCATTTACCACATAGCCTCAAACCGAACGAAATAAAAAAAAACATCGATCCGAACTGAACTCGAATACATTACCATTGAATGATTGTACAATTTTATGATTTATGTCGATAAGTTCCTGTACAATAATGAAGAGTTAAAAAATGATTTGTATGTCTGTAAGCCATGTGTGTGTGCCTATAACAACGTTTTGCCATTGTTTTCTATCGTCGGGTGTTTATTAAACGAAACGAAAAACGTAAACGAACAAAGAACACGACTCAAAAATGAACGGGCAACAAACGATGTGTGCGCGACTTCGTTTGTCGTGATGAGCCTCTGAATCGCATGTTTCACTAAAATATTGACTTCGATCGTTCTATATGATTTTCCAAATGTGAATTCATGTCTGCGACCATATTGAATTGGTAAAAACTGATTCAATCCTGGTGTCTACCGTTTCATAATACATTGTATTGCAATTTCCATCGCGCCATTATTTTGTGGTTGTTTTCGTTTTCTGACTCTCGCATATGTGAAGAAATGGAAATAAAACATACACTTCCTAAACTTCCCGTCTCTCTTGCTCAACCAATATACCATTGTTTTGTCTGAGTTTCGCTATTTATTGATTTTTCGCTTTGTTTCGATTTGCTCCGTGATTTCAGTCTGTGTCGCTGCTGTTATATTCAAAGCGAACGGTTTTTGTAATGTTTTTACATTATGTATTCAAGTTGAAATATCCACACAACGAATGGATGGAGTAGAAACGCGCATCGGTTTGAAATCTTGTCGAAGTATGTACACGTTCACATTCTATTTGGCTTTACCTATTTTGAATTTATATATACATGAGACGAAGGTGGTGAATCCATCGAATGAACTGCGAACTGTTGGAGACAGAAAATAACATAAAAACAACAAACAAACAACGACTCTGCAGCTATTCCGACTCGGACATGGTATTGTAAATGAAAACGTTGCGGCCCAATAGCTTGCTACCGTATAACGAATTTATCGCGAATATGTGGTACCTGTAAAGGCGCCGATAAATATAAAGCCCAGCAAAATGCCATTTATTCATGCCTTCGACCATCTTCCGAAAATTCAGGGAAAAACGGATGTTTGGTAACGCTCAATTCAAGCATTTTACCATACGAGACGTTTCGTTCCTTTCAATCAGTCTAATCAATTTGAGCGCAATATCATTATATTTCATTGAATTGAGTCGTGTTTTTTTTAAATTGCGCAGATATACATAAAAATTGATTTTGTCTACGGCAGCATACAATTTATGGAATGGCTTGTTGAAAACCAACATGAATGCATGCCCGAGGCAATTTCAGACAAGCGACACTGTTTTTGATATGGATAAAATAAATGGAGCTATCTATGCATCGTTAGAATATTGTATATGGTTTAGCTTTCATGGTGAATGACCAAAGCCCTCGAAAAATATTTGGTGTGAATTTCGTCACCATGGCATGGTGTGAAAAAATCTACAACAACATTGTTGGTACATCGTATTTTCGCGTACCTTGCATCATAAATTCCACTGTGAATAATGTGCTGATTGACTTTCTCATCCCAAACTCATTTCGAATGGCATCGTCGCTAACATTGTCTATTGAAAAAAAATTTGTTGATGATATTTTTTAAATATTGATTTTATACCAACTCTATCCATTTCTAATATGTTATTTTTGTTATCGAAAAATGATGCGATTTAATTCATTTTCATTCATAAATCAATAGATGTGTCTAGCCATACCATGTTATTTCTTTTACATTTTTTTTTGTATTTTTTTAAATTTATAATTATAATAAATAATTATAATTTAGATAACGTTGAAAATCAAATGCTACCGTTAATGCTACTCCAATCATCAAAGCATATGCTATATAATTTTCATGTTTCATTTCTATTCATTTGCATCAGACGTTAAAAGAACTTTACATAATTTGTACATCGCGTACTCATCTCGTTATAAAATTCTATGGAAACGTGTTTTCGCAGAAAATTCATGCAAGCAAAACCGAAATGTATCAATCTTACAATAAACATTCTGAATAAAAACTGGTAGACAGATGAATTAAAAAAAAATTGTTTGGTCCCCACACAGAAGACCAGAAGTCTGTTACAAAAATGACAACCTGTATCCATATTTCATTTGTATAGTCGTTCAATTATTATTATTATCATTTTTTGCACCGTAACAGACAATCGCGCCACCAGTAATTTATTCAACGAAATGTGAACGCCCTGTTGCCGTCCAATTCGTTTTTGGTCGATTTTTTTTTCTCGTTGTTTTGAAATCGACTCGCACTGTCACTTGTTCGCTTGGAATTCTCGTTTCTCGCATTTCGCTTAAATCGTTTGTTTTCATTTATACGAAAGAGCACACGAAAAACAAACATGCTCATGCTCCAATTTTGTTTGTTCTTTTTGCTGTTGAAAAGTGCGAAAATAAACTTTCAATACTTGAAATAAATTTTCGATGCCTTCGGTTACCGTCTTTATAATGAAATACGCGCATTTGGAATCTATTCTTCTTCAACATTTCCATCATATCATGTAGACACATCAGAGAAAGCAACAACAACAATAACAACAACAATAAAACCCGAACCCAAACTAACACATACACACACACACATCCATCCATCCAATGAACGTATTTGAGCCTCTTTTTCATATACTTTGTTTTGCCAAATGGTTCGGTTTGTGCTGAGCGAGAGATGCTCTCAACAATACTCAATGCACGCATTCATGTGATTGTGTGACGACGACGACAACGACGACTACGGTGTTTGACTCGATACGATTTGGTATGCAATGGAAAAACCAGCTTGGAATTGAAGGAAAAAAGTGTTCATTTTATCGATGATGTGTATACATATATGGCATGTGACTGTAGTTGATGGTGTATATGTGTACGTGCAATGTATGTAACTGTATAGTTTATGCGATTGTATTGTTTGGAATGTTGTTGGTACTATCCGGTGCATATGTATTTGTGAATTGTGCCTAAAGTGATTGTTTTCATGCACGAGAGCAAAAAAAAAGAAGATAAAAATAATAAACGAAACAATGGACAAAATAGTGGAAAAGTTGAAAATAAACAGTTGAAAAAATTGCGCGGTAGAAAGATACAAATATATTATACGATATATACATAGTTCATCATCATGATTTCTTTTTTCTTTTTTCGATTACATTTCGACGAAATGATTTCGTTAGCTCTTGTCTTTTTTCGTGTTAAATGGTTTTTTTTGGACCTATCAATGTGTGTGCGCGCGTGCGAGTGTGAGTGAAGTTTTTTGTGTTATTCCTGTTGTTTAGTGCGCCAGAGGTTTTTGACTTCTCTTCTCGTTCGTCTCGTGCGTTTTCTCGGCATGTGTGTAAATGATTGCTTCTTCTTCTTCTTCTTTTTCCTTGGCCTCTTCTCTCGTGTGTTTGTTGTTTTTTATACTATTTTTCTCTTTGAAACTGGCAGCCAGGCATTCAAGATGTTTTCTTTTTTTTCTCTACACCATGTGAAACTAATGCATGCTACGAATAAACTAGAATCCACATTGAAATAAATATTCGACGAATGTTGTGCGTGTACATGTCAATACATTTAATATATATATGCTATTCAGCCTACGGTAAATGGGCTTAGACTTTTTCTTTCTGTGTTCGAAATAAGACGGCTGTCTTTTTTTTTCATGAAATATGTTTTGGCTGCAATGTGGAAGTTGTTCAACAACATTCGATGTCAGTTGGTTTTAACCACTTACGAACACCTTTTCTCAGTGCATATTTATTCTATTGTTGTATAATAAAATGTATGAACTGCGGTCAATGGAAACCTTCACGATGAAACAATCAATATAATAAAATTGGTCAATGTCTCTTCGAAAAAGGTGCAAATTACTGCAACACAAAGCTGTCAACTTTCAGGAAAATCTCTAATGATTTAAATTATGAAGAATTTCTCAATGATTCCCATTAACACTTCGGCATGTGCCGAATAAACAGCAAAAAGCGGTGTTTTGGTGCGAAACATCCCAGTAAATACCATTTGGTCGAATCTAATATTGTTGAAGAAATGGAAAAGTTTCTCCAAAAATTCAGTCAGAGTGATT